GGGGAGCGGCCGGCGGCCGGAAGGGGAGTCGCCGGACCTCCGCGCGGCGCCGACAGGTGGCGCTGTGGCTGCTCGCTCCCTCTTCCCTCGCCGCACCGCGCCCCGGGTCCCACGCTGGGTCTCCCTCACCTTGGGCTTCTCCAGGGCGTGACAAAGTGCTTCAAGGAGTGTGTGATGAATAAACGAGATCATCAGAGCCACTATTTATTGGGGGCTTTCTTTTTCTTTTCCTTTTTTTTAACTGTTACTTGTAACAGTATAGCATGGCATGTTCTACTTTTCAAAGAGCTTCACATCCATTATTTCAAATAATCCTCAGAGTAAGCCTGTAAATCAAGAGCAAGAAGTAAACTGAAGCTCGAAGCAATAATACACAGGGTCTTCCAACCAACCAATTCTAGCATATTTTTGCAAATCCGTGAGTATAGTTAATATACGGAGATATAATAGAAATCCTATAGAAAGCAACCAGCAAAGTGCCTGGTATCTAGTAGGCAAGCAGTAAATGGTAACATTATTATTAATTAAGAATATTGTAATATTTTCAAATATGTCCAAATGAACAATTTTATCATCACGAGAACTGGGACAACCTACGCACACCAATATGAAACAATAGGAAGTATATAGCATTGTCTAAGGTATTCTCGCTGACTAGAAAAGCAAAAGAAAAAAAAATGTGAATCCGGTAAAGCCTAAAACTAACTCCAAGCTTAAGGAAATGGACCGATGAACAGGTTAAATTACATCACCAGGAAGCAACCAGCTGGAACCAGAATGTGGAAGTTCTACAGACCAAATTACCTAACTTCTTAATTCAACAAATAAATAGCATCAGGAAAAAAAGAGAGAGGAAGAGAGGGAGATTTGTTATAAAGCAGGCTTGAGAGACACATTAGCCAAATGCAAATTTGTGGGCCTTGTTTGGGTCATAATCAAGACAAACTAGCTTTTAAAAAAAATATTTAAAGATCCGGAAACTTGGACATGGAATGGATATCAGATGCCACCAAAGAATTATTGGTGATTTTGCTATGATAATGCTATTGTGGTTGTTTTTTTTTTTTTTAAGATTAGAGAAACTAAAGTATTTACAACCGAATTATATGGTTTCTGGAATTTGCTTTAATATTCCAGGAAATTAAAAAAACAGGGAAGTAGGAGAAAAAACAATATTGGCAAAATGTTGATAATGTTGAAGCAAGGAGATAGGTGTGTGGCATAGCGGTTGGAAGAAACCATCTGTCCCCACCAAGACATCCACATCCCAATCTCTGGACCTGTGATATGTTACCTTACATGGCTAATGGTGTGATTAAGGTTAAGGACTTTGAGGTGGGAGTTTCTCCTGGGTTGTTATCCCACTGAATCCAGTCTAATCACTTGTCCTTTTTTTTTTTTTAAGATTTTATTTATTCATTTGAGAGAGAGAGAGCACAAGCAGGGGGAGAGGCAGAGGGAGAAGCAGGCTTCCCGCTGAGCAGAGAGCCTGACACGGGGCTCGATCCCAGGACCCTGGGACCATGACCTGAGCCAAAGGGAGATGCTTAACGACTGAGGCACCCAGGCACCCCTAATCACTGGGTCCTTACATGTGGAGAACCTCTCCCTGTTGTATGAAAGTCAGGGGGAGATAACACAGAAGGAGTGGGTTTGTCCATTCGGGTTTCTGTAACAAAACACTACCCACTGGATGGCTTATAAACAACACAAATGTTTTTCTCAAACTTACGGAGGCTGGAAGTACGAGATCAAGGTACCAGCATGGTTGCTGAGAGAGTGGGTGAGAGCCACCTTCATAGTTCACCAGCATCTTCTGACAGTGTCCTCACATGGTGGAAGGGATGAGGGAGCCCCAAGAAGTTTCTTTCATAAGAACTCTAATCCCATTCATGAAGCCTCCACCCTCATGACCTGATACCTCCCGAGAGCCTCACCTCCAAATACCATCACATCAGTCATTAGGATTTCAACCTATGAATTTTGAAGGGACACAAACATTCAGTCCAGAGAAGAGGGTCAGAGAGATGCAGCCTGACAAGGACCCCACCCGCTGTTAAGGATGTTGAAGATGGAGGAAAGGGACACAAGCCAAGGAATGTGGTCAGGTGGCCCCTGGAAGCTGGAAAAGGCAAGGAAATGGATTCTTTCATAGACCCATCTTGATTTTATCCCAGTGAGTCTTCATTTGGACTACTGACCACAGAACAATAACAAATTGGTGTTGTCTTTTTTTTTTTTAGATTTTATTTATTTATTTGAGAGAGAGAGAATGAGAGAGAGCACATGAGAGGGGGGAGGGTCAGAGGGAGAAGCAGACTCCCTGCCGAGCAGGGAGCCCGATGTGGGACTCGATCCAGGGACTCCAGGATCATGACCTGAGCCGAAGGCAGTCGCTTAACCAACTGAGCCACCCAGGCACCCAAATTGGTGTTGTCTTAAGTCATTAAATTGACGGTGATTTGTTGCAGCAGCAATAGAAAACCAACATAAGCATTCATTGTATTTCTCTCCACTTTTGTGTATGGTTAAAGTTTCTCGTAATGTTTGTTAAGTCCACAAAACACAGACCTAACTAAGAAATACATTTTAGAAGTACTTCTTTTATACCTGAAGCATAACAGAATCTGACCTAACAAAATTATTATGATGCATTTTAAATTGAAAAAGAACTATATGATATAAAGTCCTCTTAAAAAGTATCATTAAGAGTTTAATTAATAAGTGAAGGGATGGAAAAACATTTATCATGCAAATGTAAGTGACAAGAAAGCCAGGGTAACAGTACTTATATCGGACAAAATAGACTTTAAGACAAAGACTGTAATAAGAGACAACGAAAGACACTATATAATGATAAAGGAAACAATCCAACAAGAAGATATAACAACTGTAGATATTTATGCAACCAACATGGGAACACCCAAATACATAAAGCAGCTAATAACAAACATAAAGGAAGTAATTGATAGTAATACAATAATAGTAGGGGACTTTAACACCCCACTTACACCAGTGGATAGATTATCCAAACACAAAATCAAGAAGGAAACCATGGCTTTGAGTGACACAATAGACCAGACAGATCTAACATATATTCAGAACATCTGATCCTAAAACAGCAGAATACACATTCTTTTCAAGTGCACATGAAATATTCTCCAGAACAGAGCACATGTTAAGCCACAAAACAAGCCTGAACAAATTCAAAAAGATTAGAGTCACACCATGCATGTTTTCCAACCACAGTGCTATGAAACTAGAAATCAACCACAAGAAAAATATGTGGAAAGATCACAAATACATGGAGGTTAAATAACATGCTCCTAAACAATGAGTGGATCAACCAAGAAATCAAAGAGGAAATCAAACAACATATGGAGACAAATGAAAATGAAAACACAATGGTCCAAAATCTTTGGGGTGCAGCAAAAACTGTTTTAAGAGAGGAATTTATAGAAATACAGACCTACCTCAAGAAGCAAGAAAAATCTCAAAGAAACAACCTAACCTTACACCTGGCATGTCTAGAAAAAGAAGAAAAACTAAAACAAAACCAGCAGAAGGGAGGAAATAATAAAGATCAGAGCAGAAATAAATGAAATAGGAAACTAAAAAAACAATAGAACAGATCAATGAAACTAGGAGCTGGTTCTTTGAAAAGATAGACAAAACTGATAAACCTTTAGCCAGACTCATCCAAAAAAAGGACTCAAATAAACAAAATTAGGAAAGAAAGAGGAGATATAACAACCAACACCCTAGAAATACAAAGGATTATAAGAAGATATTAGGATAAACTATATGCCAACAAATTGGACAACCTAAAAGAAATGAATAAATTCCTAGAAACAAAGAGTCTCCCAAAACTGAATCAGGAAGAAATAGAAATTCTGAACAGATCAATTACCAGCAATTAAATTGAATCAGTAATCAAAAAACTCCCAACAAACAAAAGTCCAGGACCAGATGGCCTCAGAGACAAAGTTGAGCAATCATTTGCATTTTAACCATAACCTCCCTATAGAAAAATATTTACCTGCATCTTATCCATGAACACACTGGAAGAAAGTTAAACACGTGAAGCAGGATACTCCAGAGTATCCAGATGTTAGCGTTTTTTGTTTTTTGGGTTTTTTTTAAGAATTTTTTTTATCATTATTTATTCATTTGAGACAGAGAGATACAAAGCGAGAGAGAGCATGAGCAGGGGGAGAGGCAGAGGGAGAGGGAGAAGCAGATTCCCCGCTGAGCAGGGAGCCCCATGCAGGGCTCGATCCCGGGACCTAGAGATCATGACCCGAGCTGAAGGAAGACGCTCAGCCATCTGAGCCACCCAGGCACTCCCAGATGTTAGCGTTTTTTACTTCATTCACTCATGCAACAGATACACACTGAGACATTGGTCCTAGGTACTAAGTTTTCAAAGATCATTCTAGGGATTGTGCTCTGGGATAGAAATGAAGCTGGGGGAAGAGAGAGTAGGAATCCTGACATTCAGGAGAAGGACTTTTGTGAAGACAATGTATTAGCTTTCTGTGCTGGGTAACAAATTACCACAAACTTAGTAATTTACAACATTCTTCTCCAAGTCCTCTTCCAGCTCATGGTTGTTGGCAGAATTCAGCTCCGTGTGGTTGTAGGACTAAGCCCTCAGCTCCCAGGGCCTCCTGCTTGTGCCCTGCCATGAGGCTCTCGCCACAACATGGCAGTCGATTCTTCAAGGCCATCTGCTGCTGTTGGTTCAAATCTATCTGACTTCTGTTTCTTCTCTAGACCTTACAGGATT